CCTTCCTTCCTTCCTTCTTTCCTTCCTCCCTTCCTTCCTTTCTTCCACTTGCGGGGGCCAATTTTTCTGTTCTCACTGCTGATTGTTTTTATCCTTGGTGATAAAAAGAAAAAAAATGGTGTAATGAGGTTTGAAAGGCTTGATGGGATTCTTACTAAAAGATATCCCTGAGACTGATAATGGGAAGGCAGTAGTTAGGGCCTATGTCTTTGCACACAGCAGTTTGGGCGTACTGACAGAGCTAATGGAGTTACCTTTAATTAGACACCTTAGCTAACAGGTGTGACCCAGGATTACTTTGGTACAGTATAGAGAAGTCCTGGGTGAGGGAAGAGGTAGATTCATTGAAACTTCCAGTCTTAGAGTTCTTAACCTGGGATCTGTAATTTGTTTATAAAAATATTTTGATAACTATTTCAATATAATTGGTTTCCTTGGCAGTCCTCTGTATTTTGTTTCCTGCATTAAAAAATGCTATTTTGAAAAAGGGCCCATTGACTTCACCAGACTGCCAAAGGGTCCATTATCTAAAAAAGGTTAAGAACCCTTGTCCTAGAGCAATGGTGTCAAACTCAAATTGAAAAGAGGATCACTAAAGTATACATAAAGATAGCATAATGCCTGGCTACATGCTGACTTAAAAAATCATGTATTAACATTATCTATGCTTTATGGCAATTTTATTGATTTTGTTAAATATTTCCCAATTCTATTTTAATCTGGTTCAGCTGCACTGGGAGTGTAATGGGCTATATGCAGCTCATAGTATGTCTTGTGTTTGACACCTCCGACCTAGAGCCCTGAGAGGTTACAATTCTCCCAGGGTCACACTGCCAATATGTCTCCAAAGCAGGAGTTCTTGGCTTTGAAGTCAACTCTCTATCCACTGTGCCTACAGTCTAGTGAAACATCCAGATAAACATGCAATTTACTGTCTCCCTCAGATTTAGCTCCACAGAGAGCTTGTTGGAAGACTATCTATAATACAGTAGTATATGGTTAGTGACCAATTGATTTGATGAAAACAGTTCATATTTGTTGCTGGTTGTTAAGTGGACATCTGTTCAGCTTAACAGAAGAGAAGAGTCCTCTGGGTATGGTGAGTTGTATTGAATGAGCTAAATTATAAACAAATGAAACCTAGTGCAATGTTGGAAATCCACTCTGTGCACACCAGGACACTGCTCTGATAAGTGCAAGTTGGAAAGTTACCTTGCTTCCTCTACAGACTTTTGGAATGATACCAATTGTCTTTGAGTTAGGAAAGGGCATGCTGGTTTGGAAATTGTATAGTCTGCACAGTAGTAACAGCCTTGTCATTTAATTTAAAAATTATGTGCAGACATCAGTTACAGATTGTGCCCTGCTTTAAGACAACCCGATCCAGATTTACAAAACAGATAAATTAGGGGATAATTATTTGCATTAGGAAAGGCTAATTCATTTTGTGATGAAATCACTTTAAATCTCTCTCTGTCCCCAAACCTTGTTTACATTTACTATTTAAAAGGTTCTGTTCTGGCACACATCCTTGGATTTTAAATTGGCACCTCTGGAAAAGAAAGCAATTAGTTTTGGGCCTACCTCCTTTGCTAGGGAGTTGCTAAGAAGAATCATTGTTTGGAAATTGCAAGGTACACCTAGCTATAAATTTCTAGCTGGAAATAGTTGGGAGATGGTAGACATAAGTGGTGTTAAACCTAGATTTTCTGACTTCCAATTCAGTATTCTTCCCATCTTTCTGTTATACTATACTGTACCATAATGCATCCCAGGAGAAGAACAAGGGGACATATGGTAATTTAGCATCAAAAGGAAAGAAATAGGTAGTATGGAGCTTTCATTTTTAAGTGTAAAATGAGGTTGTCTCATTCAGAGACTAGTCAGACACTGCCTATCAAGTGGGGAAAAATAATCCTGAAGCTTATTATAATTTGCTCACACATTAATTTTTTAGAGCATGGAAAAATAGAGTCTTATTAGCCTGAGGAGGGTCTTATACACTATGAAAAAGAGCAAGAACTTTATTTGGTAACTTCTTGGTTGGTTTCCCTGCCTCCAATTTTTCCCCACTCAAGTCTACCTGCCACTCAGCTGTCAAGTTAATCTTCCTAAAGCACAGAACTGACTGTCTTGCCCTTCCACCCCCACTCCTATTCACTAAATGACTTCCCATCACCTCCGGGATAAAATAGAAAATTGTCTGTTTGGCATGCAAAGTCCTTCATAACCTAATCCCCTCCTACCTTTCCAGTTTCCTTAACTCCCTCCAACCCCTATACTCTGTGATCCAATGATAACGGCCACCTTGCCTCAAACAAGACACCTCATGTCCAGATTTTGGCTTTTCCACTGGCTGTTTCCCAGGCCTGGAATACTCCCTCCCTTCTCACCTCTGCTTTTTGCTTTCCCAGCTAAACTCCATCTTCTAGAACAACCTTTCTAAACCTCCTTAATGTTAATGCCTTCCCTCTGTTATCTCTAATTTGTTCTGTATATATCTTGCTTGTACATTGTTGCTTTCATGTCGTTTCCTCCGCTAACTGTGAGAGCAGGAACAGTCTTTCTATCCCCAGACATAGCACAGTGCCTGGCACATAGTAGGTGCTTAATAAATGCACAGTGCCAGGCAAATAGCAGGTGCTTAATAAATGCTTGTTGACTGATGGGTAAGTAATGGGGAACCACGGAAGATTTTTTGAGCCAAGAAAGTACATGTAATCTATGCATGTAAAATATTAGTCTGAAATTCAAGAATCAGAAGAAAGATCAAACTGGGCACTGTATTGGTAATTCTGAGCTCTATGATCATGCTGTGCTCTTGTTACAATGAATCATATCACATGGTTCTGGATCAGAGTTAGCTGTCTGTGTGGTATGATTTTCTTTGGCTCTTGAAGGCTTTTTGATCTTTTTTAGAATCACCTATTAAAAGGTTTAAGGAGAATTAGTACTTTAATGTGTATAACAGCTAACACCTTAGTGGTGAGTGGGACATACTGGGAGTGAATATGTCAGACCTCCAAGAGAAAAATATTGAAAGAAGCAACATTAGAGGGAATGTGTTGAAGGGGAAGTCACTATATGATTTTGCCAAAGACCAGCTCTGGTTTACTCTAGATGTCTTAATTTGACTTTCTTCCTGTGATGAGAAATAGATTACTTTCTGCCAGTTACCTTTTATCATTAAGCTAAATTTTTAGACTTTATTTCCTTCTTTTGATTTTTGTTAGTGAGGAAAACAGAAGACAGCCAGCAGAATATTGGCTGAATCCAATACTGGAGCAGTCAATGTTTACAAAGAAGGAAGGAAAGGAGAGTATGAGAGGGATGAAAATAACCAAGGACTCTGATGAGAGAATCTGCATTACCAAGTTCATAACAGATGGTAGAGGGTTAGTTAAGAAAAGAGAGAGAAAAAGCAGGATGTTAGAGAGAGACAGAGAGAGAGAGAGAAAGGTAAGCTATCCCACAAAGGGGAATCTTTCTTGGAGCTGCCAGAAAAGGAGGACCAAATGTCTAAAAAGAAGGCAAGAAAAAAAGGACGAGGTAGAGAATCCTTCTTTTTAAGTATCTATTTCTCTTCTTTCCTGGCTCATAGAATATTGGAAATGGAAGGGATTGCAGAGGAGTCATCTCATTCAACCCTTTCATTTTCTAGATGAAAGCTAGGCCCAGAGATGGGATGTGACCTGTCCAAGGTTACTAAATTATACTGGTATTAGAAGTTGGGCTAAAATCCAGGTCTCAGTCTTAAATACTTTGCCTTACACCAAGCTCTTTTTCCTTTCCTCCCATTTGTAAGACACTTATTTGGTTCTAAAGGGGTTTTCACCTCAAACTTCCCAATCTAGAGCAGGTAAATTTACTGGAGTTGGAAGCAGATACTTTAACTAAGGTTTTATCTAGGTGTGTACCCTAATGGCAGATTGCTGCTTTAGAAAACATCATTTAGAAATGCACTAAATTACATGAGGGCAAAACCAAAGAAAGGACTGAGGAGTTGTAAATGTGGCCATACCAATATGGCATGGAAAGCCAGAAGGACAGACATTAGAAGATAGCAAATATGCTTCTTCTTCCCAACTACTGCAAAATGTGAGTTCTGCATGCAAAATAGTTGGGAGGTTTCTTGAAAACCACAGCAATCAAGGACACCAGAAACATAGCAGGATTAGCATCACATTTCTTCCCATTTTTTTTCTTATGTTGTCATTTAAATGGTTTGCTGATTTCCTGACTAGACCATCTTTGATTTCTTTTCAACATTGCTGTGAACATTAGGGAAACCCCACCCCCTGTCATTTTTCAAAATCACAAATAAGTTCTTTTTTTTTTTTAAGAGAAGGGATAGGAGTTACAAGGAATCTCAAACTCCAAATTGATTGTAGATAACAAATATATTTTAAGAAGCTGATGCTGTGTCCCATGTGGTGCTCTGGATTAGTGCCTGGCCCATCTGTGGTAAATAAAAACTAAATGATGATGGCAATAGCAAATAAAAAAATATCTCTACCTGGTGAAGTGTCTGGCAAGGAGGTTGGCATGCAAACTTTTCTCTGAGTTGACTTCCTCCCACTGCATACACAAAGCACACACATATCATATATTCCTCTCCTCAGTGGCTGCACCAAAAGGAGGATGTTTGTGCATGGATGAGTATATTTATTGCCATCTGAGGTTGAAGGCATGTGGAACAAAAACCCCATGTACCCATGTTCATATTAAACACATATAACATTTCTTTGGGCATCTTTGACAATAACTTAGGTTGTTTAGATGGAATAAAATGGTCACCCATGATACCGCATGCCTCTACTTCCAAAGAAACACAATGGAAAAAACAAGACAAAAATGCAAATAGAGGTTCATAGTATATCACACGATGGTACTGAAGTCATGCAAGGAGAAAATAAATATAACAAACAGATGGATGAGCAGCAGACACTCCAAAATGAAAAAAAAAAAGCCAGAGCAAACAATTCTAAAATTATTCTTACCTTCCTCAGTCATTGTGTCATAATATTTTAGTTTTCCATATGATCCAAGCTCTACAATATCATAGCAAAAGACACAAAGATAAGGAACTGAGCAGTAATTCAAGAAACGTGTTTTTACATGTTCTTAATCAGGTTCATTGTTATACTGTCAAATTCAGCAATTTTAACTCTATAGGGATAGGCAAACAGGAGCTATATAACAGACAGCTTTCATGGCCTGTTTCCAGAAATCGCTTAAAAGACAGGATCCCACAAGTTAAAAAAAATAATCGACTTAATTTGGTGGAAAGGAAGTCAGGAAGTACCTTGGTCTTTATGTCTGTCATGGGTTACACACCAAGACAAAGTCCTTTGGATATCTGACAGCACAGGTGAAGATAATTTTCAAAGACAACTTTATATCAGAACTGATCTGTCACTTTTTCTGGAGGTGACATCAAGGGAAGATGCTTATGTAAGGACAGTGTCTGGGCATGTCTGAAGCTGAGATATTGGGCAAATATCCAATGAACAAGCAAGGCTCCCCGACACCAAATAGCAGTCACATGAGCTCACCAAATAACAATGACTTATCTTCTTCCTGAGGTCAAGGATGATTATATAGGAAAACAACACATTGCTTAGTTCAAAATGAAAATCTGTTCCTAGAGTTTCTCTTCCCTTTTCAACTCGTTAGAGTAAGCATGTATAGCATTAGAGACGGACAAATAAAACATGTGGAGAGGATTGTGAGAAGCCGCTAAATACACAGTGTGCTTTGGAGACAAGAGAGAAGCACCATTTGCTGGAAAGTCCGAACCAGACTCAGAATAGTAAGTAAAACAACAGCAACAATTAGACATGACAGTCATTCACTGCTCTTGTGGAAAAGGGAGGGAACATAAGAAGCAGCTCCTTTCTCTCTGGTCATCATGAAAGAATCCTCAGAGCTGGAATGAACTTTAGTGATCAAAGTATAACCTCCTCATTCTACAGAGGAGGAAGTTGAGACCCAGAGAGATTAAGAGATTTGCCCCAAATTATCCAGCTATCCTGTGAGGAACCAGGATGTGAACCAAGGTACTCTGACTTCAAATCCAGCACTTTCCACCATGGCTCACAGTCTCTCAGGTTGCAATTGAAACCATAGGCTGGGAAGTTCTTGATATACATTGGTGGGTAACAGTGGGGGAAGCTGGGTATGAGAAAGGACAAAAATGTGTAAATCTGTCTTCCAACCTAGATTCTAAGATGTAACATTTTATCCTTTCTATCTGAAAAGATATCTAGGAAGAGTAAGTCTGAAGACTTAGGGCAACCTAGGATCTGGTTATGTATATGTACACGTGCATATATGTATATGTAACCAAGAAGCATTTTTTAAGTGCCTACTGTGTTCCAGGCAGCAGGGAAACAAATTCCAAGACTGAAACAATCCCTTCTTGCAAGGGGCTTACATTCAAATGGGGGAGAAAATAACATGTGTTTACATATATAATGACATATAGGATAGATGTAAAGAGAACGAAGGCAAATAAACACAAAGTAGTAAAATGCTAGGTAGTTTGGGGAGGAGGGTATTAGTCATTGAGGAGGTTGGGAAAAGCTTGGGAAAGTAGAAGGGTGCTTGAATTGCATTTCAAAGGAAAAGTGGAATTCTATGAGACAGAGGTGAAGAGGAGGTACATTACACACATGGAGGATGGCTAGTGCAAAGACAAGGAGAAAGGAGACAGTGTCTTTTATTTGAGGAGCAAAGAGAAGGAGAGTTTGACTGCCCCTCAGAGTATGGCACAGGGGTGATATATGAAACTGAAAAGATAGTATGGAGTCAGGTTGTGAAGGGATTTAAAGTTGAACAGTGGAATTTATATTTGATCCTATAGGCAACTGTTTTTGTTGTTGTTCGGTTGTTTTTCAGTCATGTCTGACTCTGTGACCCTGCTTGGAGTTTTCTTGGCAAAGATACTAGAGTGGTTTGCCATTTCCTTCTCCAGCTCATTTTACAGATGAGGAAACTGAGGCAAACAGAGTTAAGTGACTTGACCAGGGTTACACAGCTAGTAAGTGTCTGAGGCCAGATTTGAATTCAGTTCTTCCTGACTCCAGGCCCGGCACTCTTATCTGCTAAGCCACCTAGGGAGCTATTGAAGTTTATCGGTAGGGTAGTGACATGGTCAGTTCTGCATATATGTATATGCACATATCTATATGTGCACATGTACATATATGCACACACATTGATGTGTATATGTAGAGGTATATTGTCTGTGCATGTGCATATATATGTATCTACATGTGTATATGTGTATGTACATATACAGTAGTGCATATGTATATCTATGTATAGTGCATATGCAAGTGTATATACAATGTCCTTGTGCATGTATTTATATACTTCCATGTATCTGTATCTGTACGCATAAATTTATATTCACATGCCTGTATGGCTCCCTCTCTCTCTCTCTGTGTATATATATATATATATATACATACATGCACATGCATAGGTATTTCTCCTCATGAAAACCTAATCCTAGGAAATTTTTTTAAAAAAGCAATCTCATTAAAAAAAAGCAATCTCATAAAATAGTTTTGCTTTCTTCAGTACTCTTCCATAGCCTATTAACTTGGAATACTTCCAAGAAAGTCATTGGGGTCTTAGGTATCCATAAAAGCAAAAATGAAGCACTTTATATATTTGTGTAGAGGAATAAGAATATGGTTAATTGAACATATTTATCATTTATCAAGGGCAGCTAGGTGGTACAGTGGATAGAGCTCTGGGCCTGGAGTCAGGAAGACCTGAGTTCAAATTTGGCCTCAGACACTTACTAGCTGTGTGACCCTGAGCAAATCACTTAACCCTGACTACCTCAGTTTCCTCAACTGTAAAATGAGCTGGAGAGGGAAATGGCAAGTCATTCTAGTATCTTTGCCAAGGAAAGGTGGGACATGATGAACAACAAATAATTTATCATTATTTCATTTGCAAAAAAGTGTCACCTGAAGCTATTTTAATGTAATGGCAAAGGTAAGGATGTGTTGTTGGGAGAATGAGCAGTTACTCAGTTTTTGAGTTTCTGTGCTATCTTACCAGTATTGGATTTTGCTGGGCCTACATTACTGAGAATACAGATGCTCTATGATGAAACTAAATTTCATTTCAACAGCAAGGAATTGAGAAATCTAATATATTATAGGGTGTTACATGATACTGTGTAAGTTTTGAGTTCTTTGACAATGAGAACAACTTCAAAAATATACAATGCCTATTTTATAATGATATCTATTGTACAATATCCATAATTAAAAACACACCATAATTGTTATCAATTCACTCATTTTTTTCTGCCCAGCCTTTTCCATTTTCCTTTCCTGAGATACTCTCTCAAATGCTCAAATCTGTGTTCTCATCAATTCAGAGTCCCCACCAAAGATGCAGATTACAAATCATGCCTGCCCATCCCAAAATGATTCTCTTTTCATGTCCTCCCCAAATTTTCCTCAAGAGGTCCATCCAACATGCTGGAGGCCTTCCTCACTTTCTCCTGACATTCGAGGGTACCAGTGGAACACACTGGCCATTCACCAGTCAAACCTCCATCTTGCTACAGGCCATCTGGTAAATGGCCATGATAATCCATTAAAAAAGGAAAAGTATAAAAATGGCCCTCAAGAAGAGCAGCACAATGGCAGGGAAGGACATAGAGCATGCTAAGAATCTTACAGCTTTTAGATCAGCAACAAACTTTAATTTGCTTCTTGTTATTCCCTGAGGTACGTATGGAATAAAAGAAAGCAAAGTTGGTGTTTTTCAGTGTTTTGGTATAGGGAAAGCAGCTTTTTTTTTTTTTTTACAAAATATGCAAAAGAACATAGTATATACTAGATGGTGAAGCTATGTTTTCGCAAATAGGTATACACACCACAGATACCTTTTTGTTTTTTAAGGGTTCAGACCTGTGACCTCATCAATGTTTCAAGCTTTGGATAAAGAAACTCCCTCTACCAATTTAGGTCAATAAGTGTTCTGAATCTTATAGTGTTAGAGAGTTTCGTAGAGCATTGATAAATTAAACAACTGGCTCGGGGTCTTGCAGTCAGTATATGTCACAGGCAGAACTCAAGCCCAGGTCATCCTCACTTTGTGGTGGCCTTTTATGGCATATGTTTATATTTTTATAAAATATTTGCACACAAACACATGTGCACACAATACATACATGTATATATGTGCATGTATACATACAACACACACATATACATACACAACAAAAACCAACATACACCAACACACACACACACACACACACACACACACCCACAAGTGTAGTGCCCCTCAAGACTATCGCTTCAAAAAAACAAACACAAAACCTCACCAAAACCAAACAACCAAACTCCTCTCACCTGTAGGCTGGGCTTCCCAGTGACATGACTACTCCTCATTTAAAATATTCTATGGGTCTACAGTTTGGAAACCCAACTGTAGAAAATCCTTTATCTCTTTGCAGGTATGAGATAGAGAGTGTGAGGATATACCTCTCAGGTAAACTCAAGGAGAACACATTAAATACTCACTCCTCAGTCAGCTACTTGACTTGTTACCATATTAATTCTCTCACAAAGTTCAAAGGCATACTAGTAGGTTATAAATGGGAATATCCTTAGAAAGAAGTGAAAATGCAAAATCTCTCATTAATTAATTAATTACCTCTGAGCCTGAGAACCCTAGTAAAACCTGGGAAATTTCTTTGCCCATAGAACTTTCTTTTCTCTCTTAGTCTCAAACATCAGTCTCATAGATTTATATAAACATTAATGTTACTGGTTCTATAGTTTACTAATATTAACAAATGATGCATGGATATAAATAACTACTTCAGCACTGTATCAGCTGTAAGGGTGGTCACTTCTACAGTCACCTCTTACCATTATTTGCAACTTCAAACTCCTCCAAAACATTGGACCACAGTGGTTTAATATTTAAGTTCTCTTGGAATGACAGTGAAAGTCTCAGGGATTTTCTTTAGAATATCTCTTTCACAGAATAAGAGCTAACTCAGTTCAGT